CGTCGCGTTGCCGCTCGATCGCATCGTACCGGCCGCGGCCATGCGACAATGACGCGAGCGGAGCGATCGGATGAGCGCCACTGGGACGGATTTGTAGTAAGTGTAAGCAGAGCGGTACAGATGCGTCCGTCGCCGCGTCGCCGCACACTCGGGCGCGCGCGCGCGCGCTCGCGCCACCCGCTTCCGCGCAATCCCCCCGCGTTGTTGAATCCCGACGCGCACCGCGAAGTCGTGATGACGCAACGACCGAAGTGGAGGAGGTTGAATGTGTACGGACGACGCGACGCGACGTGTCGCGCGAATGCGCTTGTGTAAAGACTTCGGCACGGCCAGCTGCATGGGAGGCCGCCTTTAAGTCGCTCTTGCGACTACGTCGCTTCCCGCGCGTCGTTATACTTTTCCTTTTTCTTTCTTTTTTTTTTTAGCTTACCAATGTGGTTTAAAGACTTCTTAAAGATGACGTTACGTTAACGCCAATCAAGTACATACAACTTTGTTTTCTTTCGTAAATGATTGTGCATTATGACTTTGCGGTTCTAATATTAGAATCAACTATCGTTTCTTTTGTAAACAATACAACAATAGAAAAAAGCCATAATAAAATGAATGAAAAAGATTACTCCGGAAATTTGAATACTGACGTCATTGAATTCGTCCTGTCAACTATCAAAATCGCTCTCTGGCATCGCAAAAATATTGTCATAATTAGAAACATGCTTAAGGAATGTTAGAAACATACATAACGATAATTTAAGCGATTAAAATAGCGTTCCTGTTTCGCAACGTGTACTATCAGTGCGATATATACGGTCGTACGCAGTTACGGTACACCCACGGTGGTTGGAGCGGGAAGGTGGGTCCCGGGGTGGAGAGACGGAGCTAAGGTTCGTTCTAGAAGTCGCAGAGTCGGGCGGCATCGGGCAGACGACCGGCGGCGCAGCGTAGCGTGGTGCGGCGTGGCGCGGCATGGCGTGGCATTGCGAGGCAAGGCGAGGCGAGGCGAGGCGAGGTGAGGCGAGGCGAGGCGCGGCGCGGAGCGGAGCGGCCTCGGGTGCAGATCGCATCGAGTCAGGCGCGGCAACGGAGTCGCGGTTGCGCCGGCCAAGTGCCTCGAGTCGGTCCGATAGAACGACTAGTGTCGAGTTCGACCGAACGTAGCCGACTCCGCTGTCGCCGCGCGTGCCTTCCTGTGTGAGTGAGGAGCCAGGCCGCCCAGAGCGATCGCGATGCACGTAGTCAGTGGCTGACGACTTCTCGGAGCGTCAGGTTCTCCGTATCCGAAGGGGGGGACGTGCCGTCGCACCGCGTCTCCTAGCGAGCCACGTGCGCAGCGGTGACAGCTCGCACTGCGCGACGTAACGCGACACGAGGAGCATCCTCGGGCTCGCGAGCTAAGAGACGCGTCGCGAGATGTGACTTGGCATACCTCATCGACTAACTGGTCCTCCGTGTATCGTTCACTTTTGCGAGATACGTTACACACGTAGAAGAGAAACACTAGCAAAATTTATGAAAGCTCGCCGCGGCAGTGCATTCGATTTTGCAGTGGCTATCCCTGGTGCATGGGTGGATGGTACGGCACGTCGAGACATCGTATCAATTCAGTGATCTAATGATGAATGAATCGCTACAACAGATTGTAACTGAACTAGAGATCCTTCGAGGTTGTAGATATCGCGCGGAATGCACCCTCCATAAGATCTGACAGTATTCGAAACTTAAAGCACATGGGACATATAATTATTAAGAAATTTCGCAGTGTCATTTTTTTTTTATCTTCAACGAACTCTGAATGAAAGTGAGCATTTTTGACTCGTGATAGGACTCGTGGATGTGTCTGTGACGTTACTGTAAACTTGTCTCAATAACGTGTCGGCTAACACGCTTATCGAGATTTTCGTTAGCAATTCTTATCGGATTACGAGAATAACCTGACCGTGCAGCGTAAACATTATGAATGCAGGAATCTCTCTCAATCAGCCGAATCGATTTCGTATTATCATGCCGGCACGTCGTGGTTGAAGCGACGCGTTGTAATCGCGTGACGCGTTTGAGCGACACGCGCGGGAAACTCCGAAACGATCTCTGCGTAAAACGTCACAAAACCACCGCTTAAGAGCCCAAGGAACAAAAGTAAAATTTTGAGAACGAGAATGTGACGCAGATACGTCGATCGTCAGTTGTATTCTTGAAAACGTGGGAGGGGGGGGGAAGACAAAAAAACAGCACCCAGCAGTGAAAAGGACACTACCTGAAACACGGAAAAACTGCAAAACGTACAACGAACGAGCAGCTAAACGAAGACATAGAACGACGAAAAAAAAAAAACGAAAGGTAGAGAGACACAGGAAGAAAGAGTTCGGCGGCGAATCGTGAAAAGAGTAACGGAAACGCGAAGGGGGAGAAATAGAGATTTCTGGGCACGCGCACTCCACCTGCTAGCGTGTAGTGGCACGCGCCATATCCACCGCCTCCTTCCCCTGCCACCCTCGTCGTCACTCACATTACCCCTGCACCCCTCCCCCTCTGTCTGTCTTTCCTCGTCCACCCAATTCCATCCTATCTTCCTCTCTCTCTCTCTCTCTCTCCCTCTCCCTCTCCCCCCCCCTTTCTCGCGTGCCCTCCTGTGGCCCTACCGCGGCAGCCGTCGCCGCTTCTCCTCCCCTCCCCCCTCTCCCACGGGAATCCCCTCCCGTGTTCCTCTTTCACGCGTGCTACGAAGAGACCGGGACGCGCGGGAGTCAATCGCTCGCGGTCTTCGACAGAACGTACAACCGACGTTCTTACACTCTTTTCCTCTTCTTTTTCCTCTTCTTCAGCGTGCTTAATTTTTCGAATATTCGCCGAAAAGTTTCTCCCTCACGGCTCGTCGAACTGTACGTATGTCGACGAAGAGACATTTTTCCACTCCTCTTCCGTGCGAGCTTCTCTTCGTTGCGGTGCCTTGCACGTGCATCGCCGGAGAGCTGACTGAGAGTCAAGAGAGTCTCAGGAAAAGAGGAGAGAGGTATAATCGTAATAACGACCACGTTATTTCGGTCCCTCGCGTCAGCATCTTTCGCATCATGAACCGCGAGTGGACGAGTGCGTGAGTGCCTTCCTCAGCAAATAAACCGGCTGATCATAGCGGTCGCCATTCCGTTCGTTACGTTTAAAGGGGCACGCTCGACTACCTGCTCGCTCGTTGGCGTCAGAAGGGCCGGAGACGCCGCACGACGAGAGTCGTCAGCCGATGTTTGCGTATGAAAGAATCCGGTCACCCTCCTTCGTCTCATCCTCCTTCTGCTGTGCGTCCACTGCGTGGGGGGAGGCGCGCGCGATCCCTGTATTGTAAACCTAGCGAGCAACGGGGCAACGGGGAGGAGGAGGACGAGGACGACGACGACGACGACGACGACGAAGACGACGACGACGACGTGGACCATCACCACGCCGTACAATCGGGGCGTGCGACGACGGCCACGAGAAGAGCACGAGCGGGGCGAACGGTGTCGGAGAACAAGAGGCGAGAACAGAAGACACGTGTGAGAAGACACGGCTGAGAGAGAGAACAAACGGAAAGGAGCTATAGAGTGGGAAACGACGCGTGCTTAAAACGCGCGTCGTTTCTGCTGTCGTGGGAACGAAAATAGTTTCGCGAGAGTTAGACGGGCGCACGCCAACATTTATCTTCAACACCGACGACCGAACAAAACACCCACCGACGGCGCAGGAAGGGAGGGCGTGCAAGAAGAGTCTGGCTTGGTATATAACAGTCGGCGTTTCGCGCGGTGACCCTGCTGGAATCACAGCGAATTCCGCTCGGTCCGTCAGTCAGGGGAAACCAAGCGAGAGACGAGAGAGAGAAGACTCCAGAGGCGTAGCGCGCGATCAATCGACTACACGATCGTGCGGTATCGCGCTGCTTTAGTTTCCTACCTCTCCTTCCGCTCCGCCGAGAAGAGTCAGGACGAGCGCGATCAGCTGTTCGCCGAAGCGCCGCGAGTCGCGTCTTGTCGAAGACGATCAACCGGCGCGAGGGAACCGAGCGCGTCCCGTTGGATCCTGAGAATCCGCGTCGCGTGCGTTTCGTGCGTCTCCGTTCGGAAAACCACCTGTTGACGATTTACGAGGGAAAATCGAAGCGCGCGTCCGTCAACGAAAAGCCACCTCCGCGATTTTCTTCGCACGCCCGTGTTCATTTCCACGCTGTGAATCGAGAGAGATCATCATCATCCTGGAGCTCTGGATCGAAACCACCGCGTCGTGCGATAACGCGAGCCAACAACGACAGCGTGCTCGGACCTAAGCAACGTTTTTAAGCTGCTTGAAGAAAACGAAAAAGTACGAAAACTGTGAAAACACTTCTTGTGAAGAGGAACTATTTGTACAAAACATGCTTCCCGCGACTATTGTTTCTTTTTCTTTCTTACGGAGAGGATTAGCGGCGAAAGATCGCTAGTGGTGAGAGCGTTTTCGAAAAATTATAGAAACGTCGAGACTGTGCGTCACCGACGACACATCGCATAAACAATTGCGCCGTCTCGATTATTTTTCACGGTCGAATTCGGTTATCGCCGATACGCATCTCGTCGGTGTGTCGGTTGGTCGCCGGCTGTGAGAGAACTCGGCGAGGTCAGAGGTCAGGGAATAAGCTAGCGGGCGATACGACGCCGCGTGCGAGGCCACGTCGAAAAGAAGTGTCACGTTCTTTCTCTGTGAAAGAGGATCGGTAACTCGAGTGAGGAAGCGATAAGACAAGAAACGAACAAGATTTCTCGAGAATCTGTGACGCGCGCGCATATAAAGACGACGTCGACATGTCCGTGTTGGTGCGTCGACGATGATAGCTAGTCAAATTATTATGGGCATTACATTTTACGAACGATCGATAGAAGGAAATCGACGCTGCGCACGCTGTCCCGGCAGCGTGAACGAAAGGGTTGAGTGCCACATTCATCCCCCCTCGCCCCCGCCCCATCCTTGTCGCGCTTTTTTTCGCAGTCGCGAGTGGCGTTTAGTCGTAATTCAATTCCGTCGGGATAACGGTGCAATCGAACAAGTGTATCGAGCGTTCGTATGGACGTACGTCTTAACCCGCGAATAATCAGACGAGACGTTGAGTTTAATATCATTTGCGAGTACAAACAAATCGAGTGCTACTGAAAATTAACGAGAAACCGTAGAAGGGACAGCGTATCGCTGAACGAGCGAAGAAAAGATGACATTCAAGTTTCGTTGATATTTACAATCGTGACGAAAAAGTGTATCGTGTTGAGGGCAAAACCCGCTGCTTCGATATAACGACACAAAAGAACGCGAAGGAACTGGAGGGGCATGGTGGGCCCCCCTCTGCCAGGCCCGGGTGGCCTCTCTGTGAAAAGAAATCTTCCCTCTATCACCACGTCGTTCCCGCGACATTAGATTACCTGGAATGATGGTACGTTCACCACTTTTTTTACAATAATTAATTTTATTTACAATGATAAAAAGTAAACTGTAATTTCACATACAATGTATAGAGAGGCAAAAGCCTCTTCGTTGCGAGATTTCAATCGTTTTATTTCAGCATCAATATTATTTCGACGTGAAAGTCGAACGTCAGACGTTTCGCCTTGAGAATCAAATGAACGATTTGCATTTAACGATAAACTCGCGACAAGAGAATGGGACCTTCGGAGATCTCAAATGTTTCACGCTCACAGCGGAGGTTTCTCGTCTCATCTTCCTCTCGGAAGGTATAAAGAAACCGGAAACTGCTGACCGTCGTAACTGTATTACGCACCGTGTGCAGGCCCTTGTTGCTTGTATTGAAATCGCGCCTCATGTGTCTCGGAGCATAACACACAGGTGCACCCGATCTCGCCTTCTTGATCAAAAAGCCAAGAGACAAACAGAGACAAACAGCAAGAAATAGGAAACAGAAAGCACATTGTAAAATTAGCCTAAAGCCGTAATCACACTAGCGATTGCACGATTCTGATTGACGATTGAGGATTATTTCTCAACCAATCAGAGCAAAGCAGTGTCACCGATTGCTTTGTTCCGATTGGTTGAGAAATAATCCTCAATCGTCAATCACAATCGCGCAATCGCTAGTGTGATTACGGCTTAAGTGTATGTACTACATTGTTTGCATTGCAGCACCGTGCGTTCTGAGCTCCCTCGTACTGAGCGCAGCGATAAGCTTTAAATTTCGCGCCGTGAAGACTTTCGATCCGGCGCGACGGCGTCGTGTTTTGTTTACGCGTCGTTGCGCTCGATCGCCTTATTGTCTCACCTTCGAAATTGATTTATAATACCGGACGCGCGACATCGGCGAGCGAATTGGATTAAATTAGAAAATTCACCGAGTCAGAGAAAGCGCGACAGTTAAGCGTAAGATCGCAACCGCTCGAGATCTCCCGATCGAGAGTTGGCGGAGTAGGTTGAAACGAACGGAAGTGATTCACCCTTTCAATTCCATTCACCCGCGGTTACTATAAACGCAGGCTTTATTTCTGTCGCTCTGCGCTTAGAGGGATTGTGGGGGGGGAAGCGCAAACGAATGTTTCTCGGTGTCTTCCTTTCTTCAACGACAATCGGAATTCTTTCGTCACGAATACGTCAACTGAATTTAATCAGTCATTTCTTTATTCTTTTTATCACGCATAAATCGTTGCGTCTTACTTGCAATTTTTTATACGGGATAAAGGATTAGCATATCAGTAGATATTTGTCTCTAATATCTGACTGAGGTAGGATTCTGTGGATCAATATCACTCATAAATCCGAAAAACAATCTGATTCGAGAAACGAATATAGGCCTCGGACAAAAGAGGAAGAGGCCTATAGACGTCCTATGCTCCTCATAAGGAGATAAAAGGAATCATTATTATAAAGGATTAGAGAAAGATACAACTTAATATGACTCGACCATCCTCGTGGCATTGAAAATCGAAACGTCGCTCAAAATCAGCGGTCACGATCTGAATCGAAACCAATCGATCGGACGTTTGAATACGCGACACTGCGCAATAAATACGATAATACCGAGAGACTGAAATGAACAAATTGCGTATCGGCACAAGCTTGAATTTTTCTTCGTAAGGCCGGAATCAGACTATGCATTGAAAATTGAGATCGTTTGACCAATGAGGATAAAGAAATTTAAACTCCTATTATTTTGATTAGCCAAAATTCAATATCTTTCAATCTTCAATCTCAATCTTCAATGCGTAGTCTGATTCCGGCCTAACGCGCGCGCGACGCGGGCTAATTCTGTCGCCTGGTTAAGCCCTCGCGCACTCGCCACCTCATTCGCATCGCTTGCTGCGGAACTGCATGCGCACACGTATAGGACAATGGATTGACCGTGTCGTAGCGTCGGTGCGCGTCTAACGGCATTCTGGCGGTCGAGCGACCGATAATAGGGGCGTCCATCGCACTCCGCGCCGACTCGCGGACATTCCGCTGCGCTCTCCCTGTCCCTGATGCACCGGTTCCGTTGCACTAATGACCGGTTCGCGATCCGGGGCGTTAGTCGACGGAATCGGCCAGTCATACACGGCAGTGGCAACGGCGTGCCATACGGTTCCAACATCCTCCGGTATTCTAGTCTAGCTGTTAAGTTGTCTACGATAAGTCTACGACCGCGAAACCATCTTCGCTCCCCCTCGATGATTCGCCTTGACGATTATATTGTCGATTGTGATGTCTCGGCATCGATTTAAAATTGACCTGTAAATTTCGTCCAATATTTCATAAATTGCAATGATCAAAACTAATCAGTGTACATAAATGAAAATCTTTTAAATACATTTGTTTAAAATGGATAATATGCATACATTAGATAATGTATATATCGTTACTATTATTATTATTATTATTTTGCTAGTCAATTCGATACGAGTGTACTCTGACATGAGCGCAAAAACGCAACGTAAAAATCTCCTGCGCATTCCGTTATCTTCCGCGTTTCACCGACGAGTCAAAATTAGTCTAGCGATATTAACGTAACTGTGCTTTCAGCGTGGCTTGCTGGGTTCTAGTTCATAGCTATTATCTGTATAAAGCTAGCTCTCTTAGTAGCCAATCTATACTACGGTGCTCGTCAAGAGAACTCCGACGTACCATTCCTTTAAATACCGTTCGCAATTTAGCTGAATTAAACTCGTGCGCGCGCGCGTCAAGTCAGCGCGTTAATTTCTGGCGCAATAACATCGCACCTATTTATGTCACTTAGGCGACTAAATTAACGTTACTCTAAAAATGTCTCAGACTCATAAATATTAGAGAGAGAGGGAGAGGGAGAGGGAGAGAGAGAGAGAGAGAGAGAAATTGGTTTCGATTCGAAAAATTTGTTATTGTATAATCTTCGGGCTTCCAATCAGAATTGCATCCTGAGCAGTCCATACGCGTCAGGGGCGAGGATTCGAATTGTGGGCGAGCGCGAGTTTCCAGTTTAGTGATGCGGTGACGCGTGACGTGGCATCCCGATTTCTGGCGTGTCATAACAGGGGATTAAGCCTCGCACGGGCGGGCGAACGGATGGACGGAAGGACGGCCGGCTCATGGCTGCGCGTCGGAATTATTTATACCACTTGATTACGCGTCGCACTGCGTCGCGCCGCGTCGAACCGCGCCGAAGCGACCAACGGAAACGAACGACTTGGTGGTGATGAAACGAAGCGGACGAGAGCGTGCGAGAGCGAGCTAGCTCACGACGACGCAGAGAAGCCTTCTTCCTCTACCGTTCATCGTCTCCGCGCGCGTGGATCTCGCTCTATTGATGATCGATGCCGACGCTGCAATCGCCGGCATATGTACGTATATACGCTCGGTCGGTCGTTATCGGCGACGTCAGGAGTCGCGATAACGAGGACGACGACAATTCCGACGTGGAGTGACATTGAGGAAAGTCGACGCGTATCTCTATCTATTTATCTACCTCTCTCTCTCTCTCTCTCTCTCTCTCTCTCTCTCTCTCTCTCTCTCTCTCTTTTATCGATTTTTATCGATTATTCGGTATGCAAAGTAACTGATTATATAAGAATCATTTGAGTGCCTCGCTTTCGGTCACTTTGCGAAATATTGTAAATTTCCGTTGCAATCATTGTGCAGGGAGTTATAAAACGAAGAACCTGTGTGTAACTGCAAATGCGGGAACATCGTACGAGATTCAACTCCGTTTGGCATTGGATTGTGAGAGTTGTTCGTTTCTGCTAATGAAAATTTTGGACAGAATAAAAAGCATCAATTATGGATAAAGCCGCAACAACTCAGAGCATCTTCGTGTCTGTCTCATTATCAGTCATTACTAGCTTATCTTGATAAATTTCAATTGTATTTTGCAAACTTGGCTCAAATTTTGTCTCAGACGAGCTTGTGTCTCTTCAACAAAATTGTCAGTTGCTCAAATGATAGAATTGGCATGATCGGTGATAATATAAAACTTTTTACACGCTAAAGTTCTAAACTGTGCTCCTTTCTGTGTTTATAGATTTTCACACCTTGTCACCTCTCTGATTTCCTGAAAATATTTCAAGATATTTCTGTTTTGTATAATTATTCAGTCATCTATGACTGCAGTGCTGACCTTAATATACACTCATATACCTCTGATCAGATTTGTTTATGGAATCTTCGAATCTGTACCTTATTGCATCGACGACACATCACAAGAATCTCTCGACTTTCCTGAATCTACGCATCTCGGATGATGCTGAGACATTCGTCTTTTTTGAACAACACAACGTATGTTTCCTTTCGGCTAATCTAATACATAGTATAGGATAAAAAAAAATTGTGTTTTCCCAATCAAATTAGAGTTTTCCATTTCTCTTCTAATCTCAATAATTTCTTTGATGATCTTGAAAATTGTATTGGAACGCTCTTTATTATGCGGAAGATATCAATTTCAAGGTCAATGCTCTATAAACACTTAAGTGAACGCTACAAGCATGTTCTATATCGCGACTTATGCTTCGTTAACGCCTTTGGCTCACTCAGGATATCATCAGAACTATGATGAGGGAACGTGATATGACTAGAAGGATGAGAAGAAAAAACGATCTGATTTGAACTCTAATCACTACAAAATATAGAGGAATCAAGTACATAGAATTTGTGCGTGTTACCAAATAATTTATCTTAAAGTTTTACATGAGTTTCAAAGTTCATACTGAAGTTGCTCAGACATCTTAGACACTAATCAAGTAAATCACAACATTTCTAACGGAAGAAACTTTTCTTCTCTCTATGATCACTTATTTATTGCGATATTTAATTACATGGGCCTATATCTTCTGATTTACATTTCAGGATTTGTGCATGCTTTGTGTAAAAATTATACGTTATATGTGTGGTCCGATTACGGGAGTTATCGAGTAAGAGGATTACTTCGGCGGATGTTTCTCAGAGGTCTGTGCTGGGACCTCTTCTGTTTCTTCTCTATCTGAA